GAATACTGTAACTAAAATTTGTCGTACCCTTGCCTGGGGCACCTACATGAAAGACTTAGACTTTCTAGATAAATCAACAGTACTTCAGATATCCTCTCCGATTTAAAAAGAGCTACAGAGATCGCAATCCTGTTCAGCTTTGGTACATAAAATGACAAACATAATTTACACAACTGAACCAATCCAAATAGTTCTTTTGTATGGTACGATTGAGTGTTACGGCAACCCATCCTGGAGTTTTCTAAGAAAATATCAAGTTCCTCCTCCTGAGTCATGACTTTTCATGAGTGATTTCAGGATGCTTGAATTGGCCTGACAGGATGTTGACTTTGAATTGGAATGACAGGAAGAGGAAAGTACTTATTTGCAATTCAAAGAAATTCAACACCATCACTCGAACGTTTTGTGACAAAACACAAATATTTAGATAATTAATTTGGACTAATTATGCTTATATTTTTCTTTAATATTTATAATAGATTTTTCCTCAGCAGATTACACATATTTCTCTAAGCTAAGATACATTTCTCTGAGCACCAGATGTCCATTATATTGTTTTGAAACTGTATTAAAATCATTATTGACTGTAAATTGGATCATTCTGGAAAATGAAATATAATTTATATGAATTTCTTTGTTAGTGTTAGTATTTGGTTAGTTTAAATTGGTTGAACAAATTGAGCATGATATACACTACCATCCAAAAGTTTTGGGTTGTATATTATTATAATTTAAAACAACTGTTATTAAAACCATTTTGCCTTTCTGTTGCCTACAGAATTTTCATGTTTTATGCATTGTTTCATGTGGGCCTTTTGTGTTTCATGAATTATTTAAATGGTTTATATTCTGCTTTGGGTTTTTTTTTTTATGAAAAATTCATTTTTAAGAAGCTATTTGTATATTCTTTATTCATTCTTCTTGAATATTCTTTATACATATTCTTCATATATTCATTATTCATTGTGAAGTTGATTTACATATTCTTCATAACGAATTTTACGATAAAGTTAAAAGTTAAGAAAAAATGAATTAGCCTGTAGTCTATTATAGATAGGCCTATTTGCTAATTCTATTTTTTCTTAACTTTTATTAGACTGCAGATCGAATTAAAGAATTCTTGATAATATCTTTAAAATGAGAGAAATCACTGTCATTCTTTATTTTTCTTTCTTCGACCACAGAAAAAAAGTCTTTTAACTTGCAATGATAACATCCCAACAAATGTGTAAACAAGAAAAAAATATTTGACAAAATTACAAAATTAATGCTGAATGATGTTTGACAGTGAGCGCATCTCCACTGCATAGCTGCATACAATCGCTGGTGTCAGTCGCAGATATTAAACACGTTTAAAACAATCTTTGTGAAAAAGACTGGCAACGACTGGTTCTTGAATTCTACGATTATAATCTTTAGACCCCACACACTACAATTACAGTCCTCAAGAACAAATTACATTCATAATCGGCATGTTAGTCGTGTAGTGTATTCCCGGCTTTAGTGACATATTGCAGATGAGCAAATGTTCTTAAAATGATTTTTTTTCTTCTTCCAGACGAAAGATGCTTTGCATCTCATCCCGTTTGTACTTCACACATTCGTCTTTGTTCGTCTGCACTGTGTGATTGTTGTCTCAAACCACTTTACAAATCTCTTCCTCCTCTGGCGGTGACCTCTCTCTGGGTTTGTGGTTCACTTTCACTCCGTGGCGCGCACACACACACATATAAAAACACACAGTGTAATGAGGGGTTTGGTGGGTGGTTTGGGAGGAGCAGGCAGGCATCTCTCTTTGCTGAAGGGAAAGGCCTCCTCCTCTCCGGAACATTCCAGATGAGCTCACACTTGCCTGCTGGAGATGAGGAAAGAGATGAGGCTGCTAAAGAGCTTTAAAGTCAGTGTGTCGGTGCACCACTAATAAAGAAAACAAGTCAATTCTGTGATCGTTGACTAACCTTCAAGTCACTCCAAAACTGTATGACTTACTATTTTTTCTAGACCTTTTTTTTTTTTTTGGTGTTAATAGTTGCTCAATCTTAACATCTATTTAAAAAAAAAGGCAAAAATATGAATCTCAATGAATGAAAGCATTGGAGGCGATCTACTGCTCTCAGATCTTTTGATATCATGCATTGAACTCACAGAATTCCATTCAGCCTTCTTTCTCTCTCCACACACACACACACTACAGGAAGTGCTGACTCTGCAGGGTATATTTAACAAGTTCGGCCATGTTTATGGTGAGCAGACTCCGGATGTGTTTCTGCTCACTCGTGTGGGTGCCCGTGTGTGCAAATGAACACACTTCAGCTGGACTCTTGAGACAGACTTGCTGTATATGAATGTCACATACACTTACCGTTCAAAAGTTTGGGGTTGGAAAGATTTTAAAAAAAAAATGTTTTTAAAAGAGGTCTCTTATGCTCACCAAGGCAACTTTTACTTGGTTTAAAAATACTGTAAAAACAGCAATATTATGAACAATTATTACAATTTAAAAGAACGGTTTTTTATTTAAATATATTTTATATTAAGTGTATCTCTGTGATGCAAAGCTGAATTTTCAGCATCATTACTCCAGTGTTCAGTGTCACGTGATCCTTCAGAAATCATTCTAATTTTCTGATTTGCTGCTCAGGAAACATTTGTTATTATCAATGCTGAAAACAGCTGTGCTACTTTTCAAGATTTTTTTGATGAATAGAAAGTTCAAAAGAACAGTATTTATTTGAAATGTGATTATAGATTTCTTTATTGTCACTTTTGATCGATTAAATGTGTCCTTGCTGAATAAAAGTATTAATTTCTTTAAAAAAAATCTATGAAAATCTTACTGACCCCAAACTTTTGAACAGAAGTATATAACAAACAAACAAACAAAAAAGATCTAGTACTAATATAGTCCTTTGTCCCTCCTTATTTTCAGTGCTCTTGCTCACGATTGACCTTACTCTGTTTTGAACTTCATCTCAAAGCGGTAAAGTCACTGGTTTGCCATCAAAATATATTGTGAAATGAATTGCCTGGAGGCTCAAATTCTCGCTTCTCAGGTTCTTCTATTTATTTGAAATGTGATTATAAATTTCTTTATTGTCACTTTTGATCGATTAAATGTGTCCTTGCTGAATAAAAGTATTAATTTCTTTTAAAAAAATCTATGAAAATCTTACTGACCCCAAACTTTTGAACAGAAGTATATAACAAACAAACAAACAAAAAAGATCTAGTACTAATATAGTCCTTTGTCCCTCCTTATTTTCAGTGCTCTTGCTCACGATTGACCTTACTCTGTTTTGAACTTCATCTCAAAGCGGTAAAGTCACTGGTTTGCCATCAAAATATATTGTGAAATGAATTGCCTGGAGGCTCAAATTCTCGCTTCTCAGGTTCTTCCTTTTAGCTAAATATGCTCAAATGAGTTCTAACCTGCCAGAAACCGTCTGAGAGGTTATTAAGTTCTGGAGGATTTTCTCACATACTCCTCTCCTCTTATAGAATCCAAACAGTCTGTGATAATACTACCATAATACATTTTGGAGAGTATGTATCTAATTCTTATTCAAGGCTTGGGGAGTGAATGTAACTCATTCAGTTATTTGGGGTAAATGCAACCAAGTTTTGTTGTGTGGAATGCAAAAGTGAAACAATCCAGCATTTTAGGGCAAATCTTTATAGCGAGTATAATTTCATATGCAGGCTACAGTAATAAACTTTGTGCCTACAGACTATTTTCAGAGTATTTCAGGTCCAATTTCAGAGAAGCCAATACTGAACATTGAACATTGTTGTATTGTTGTGCTGATTTTGTACTGAATAAATATTTTTTTTATATTATCAACAGGAGCGTCATGTACTCATTATTTTTGAGGGGGCACGAGTTGGATGGGGGGGGATGGGGGGTCGTCATGTGACACACAGCAGCCACAATAGCACTTATGTTTTATTTATTTTTTCCTTTTTATTCGAAACATCCCCAAACGCATTAACTATATCATGAAATATCTTGATTCTCACCTTTATAGATTATGTTGATCTATAGTGGGCGATGGTCAAAGTAACCTAATAATGTAATCTATTATCTATGCATACAAACCTGTCTGTTTACTTAATTAACAGATATGGGTGTCATGCCATAACATATTTTTAATATGACTTTAATTTTTTAATATGTTTATATTTAATGTGAATTTAACATTGAAAGTTAATGTGAATAAAAACATTGCAAGTTAGGCTACTAATCATAACACTTTCATTGTACAGAAAGAGAGCAAAGAACATTTACATTATCAAAGAACATTTTCACTGACAGTCTAGTTCAAGCACTCTCAAAAACTCCCATTAAAATCACTGAAGCTGTTTACACTATGAAATTAATATCTTACAGATTCGTACACACATTTGCACTTTGTTGTTTCTGACGAGAGAATTCGCCAGAAAGAGGTATTCAGTCAGCGAGCGAGTGAAGAAAACACCGGCATTTTAGCGATGACTCATCTAAACACCTCTGATTGGTCATTGTATTCATAAGCTCAACAGCATCGTGTGTGATTGGTTATAATGGGCAGCGTTGTAAAAACGCGTCTGTATCTGGCTCAGCGCCAGCCAGCGAGCGCAGATTTGAATTTAGCAGCTGATGATATGGCACTGAACGTTCTAATCACGCCGGTGTGATTGTATTAAATATAGAAAATATTAATCGGCTATTTTTTGTCTTTTGGAAGCTGCATTCAAAATCCACTTGCCTCAAAAATCTGAGGGGGCACGTGCCCCCTCACTTTGAATGGGCATGACGCCTCTGATTATCAATGTTGAAAACAATTGTGCTGCTTTATATGTTTGTGGAAACCGTGATAAACTTTTTCAGGATTCTTTGATGAATAGTAAGTAAAAGAAAATGGTGAAATATATTTTTTGGTAACTATGAAAAAGTCTTCTGTAAACCAACAGATTTAAATCTTTACACCCATGGTGCTTGCCTTTTTTGTCTTTTTTTTCAGAGTATGTTGAAAGAATTGAACTAAGGGGAGTTGCACCCAAATCAGACAAATCAACAGAATACATCCTGGAGGTGAGTTTCGTGTCAGTTTCCAGTACAGTCTAGTGATCGACCGATATTGATATTTTATAACCGATACCGATACCAATTATTTGCGTGTTTATGTGCCAGATAACCGATATGCAGAACCGATATTTATTTACTGTTATAAAGTAAATAAATGACTGAGTGAAGTAAGTCCATACTTCACTTTGGTTTTTCCTCCTTTCAGCAATCTTCAAAAAAAAAAGTGTTGAAAATTACCAGTCTTTCATGTTAAATTTAATCTTCATATTACAATAAAAAAACATTTTATTTAAAGCATCAGCAGCAACACTAATATTAACAATAAGCAAAATAAATGTAGAAGGTCTAATGTTTTCAAATGGAGAAAATAAATAAATGAAAGGAGTCATATCAGCTTCAGTTTAAACTACAGTTTTAGTAGGTTTATAAGCTGTTTAATAGGCTAAAGAGCGAAGATTAATTCACTGGATAATGTTAATTCACTGAATAATATTCTCTGGAATATTGAAATATAACAAACAAAACATTGTATTTTATTGCATTTCTCAACTGGAATGTTATATCAGAATTATTAATAATGTTTTTGTCCTTCTAGATTATGAAATGCCTGCTGACAGCGCAGTTTATCTATGCATTCACACAGAACTATACTCAAACTGCGATTGCTCGTGGAGATAATAAATAATTAATTTCCACAGAGTTGTATCCATTTAGATATTTATTAGCGAAATAATGGTTATATAGTAAATGTTAATACAATTTAGGGTGTTTTAAACAAGTGAATCTTGTTAAAAGTTACATGCGGTGGCCGTGCTGAAGCATTTCCTGAGCATCAGCCCGGTGAGTGAACAGCAATATGAAAGCGGCTTCACGAGACTAATGATGAGCATAGACAACAGACAGAGAATTAAATTTAGCGTTTTTATTTCCAACATGCGCTCATTCATGGCTGTATTATTTAATTAATGCAAAGTTACGTCTTTATTGGGAGAGGACTTGACGATATCGGGAAAAATATCGGTAAATAGATATATCGGTCGATCTCTAGTACAGTCTTACAAAAATCTGAAAATTTGAACAAAATCTCCTGCATATTGTATCTATATGTGTTGTTCTGTATTGTATCTCCATACAAAGCAGGTCTTTTCGGTAGTTTTGTCATATTTTTACAGAACAATTGTAGCCAAAATGTAAAATGTTCTTGTCATGTTATATGTTTGTCATACTTTTCTCTTGATCAAAGGCCTTGTGGTCCGACTGCACTTTGTCGACTGTCAGCAAAACCCCTCAGGAAGTGGTGGAGTTCATCTCCCAGGTGAGTGACAGTCATGTGTGTTGCATTTCATGAATGTGAGAAATGTTGAGCTAGTGTGTTAAGATGAAAAGTCTTAAAAATAAACTACTAAAGTGGTCTGTAATAAATGTTAACATTTCCATTCATCTCAATTTCTCAACTGCAACTGGACTCACTGGAAAGTTGTGTAGTGGAAAAATTATTTGACTGTGTAGAATAATCAGTGCTGTGATGTTGAAAACCAGTGAATGTGTTCATTGATGAGTGCTGACAATTTGTAATGTTATGAAACCATGCCGTGTCTCTGTTGTCTCTCTCTTCAGCTCTCTCAGCTCTTTCCCGATGAATGTCTAGAGAAACTTCTGCCCCAAATGCCTGGACTTGATTTCACTCATGAATTAGATCCTCGGTATTTCTGCTTATGAATCACAAAATGCGCAGACAGATACATGAATTCTCAGTTATACTGTGTTTTTACTAGGGCTAGGTTATAAATTGAACGTTTACAAAATATTTGTAGACAGACTGTTTTAAAATTCATTTGTTGAGTGGCATTTTTAATGTATTAAAAATATATGTTGGGAAATGTTTATTAATCAATACTGTTATATATATATATACAGTGTATATATATATATATGTATATATATATATACAGTGCCGTGAAAAGGTTTTTGCCCCCTTCCTGTCTTTTTTATTTTTTGCATATTTGTCACACTTAAAAGATTCAGATCATCAAACCAATTTTAATATTACGCAAAGATAATGCAAGTAAATACAAAATGCAGTTTTTAAA